TGATTATGCCGCGCCTTTGACGTAAAAAGTAAACAAAAATTTTGAGATTAAAAAAAGACACTACTGTGGCCATACTACCCTGATAAGCTTTTGAAAACAAATTTTGAAGTGCGAAAAGTTAATTGAAGGGTGAGGCACTTGACAAAAGAGAATTATGTGCTAATTTTTTCGCTCGAAACACATAAATATATATGTAAATACATAAAATACAGAGATAAGGCACACAAAACATTAATTTTCCTTCTCTAAATAAATATTTTGTATTTTAATTGCAGGAACTATTTATTGGAAACAAGACTTTAAAAAAGCAGCCGATTTTTTTATTTTTAGTTTTTCATCTTTTTTATAACGTGATAACAAAAACAAAGAATTGTAATGATCTTCAAAAGCGGCTGAAACCGCTCCGTTCACAATCACTTTATTATATAAGTATTGGAAGGGCTCATCAAACGCTTGTCAAACAAAAGTGCGTAAACAATATATGCCTTAGTACTGTTAATAACAACAAAAATAGTGAATTTATTTTGTGATAGTAATAATGTAACGGCACACAACAAAAACAAGCAGTACACTTTTCGAACGACAACTTTTTCAAGTTTAGCTAAAAATTAAATCGCTCAAGATTACCGTTTCGTGTGCCCTACGGCAGCCATTGTCTACAACAAAAAGAAATGGATTTTTGTGACCCACACAATAACAAAAAAACTATTTTAATAGCTTTAAGGGTCTTTACTCCTCTAATTTGATGGATATGTTATAAACTTATTGCAAAAATTTGCGGTATTAAGCAACGGTACATAAATAATTAGTAAAAAAAATTAATTAATTTTTATAAATAACAAAAAACAATCATTTCATGATATAAAATATCTAGAAAATAAAAAAAAAATATCTAAAAAATAAAAAAATAAAATAATATAAAATAAAATAAAAAGAAATAAAATAAAATAAAATAAAATAAAATAAAATAAAATAAAATAAAATAAAATAAAATCAAATATAATAAAATAAAAAATAAATAAATATTAAATTAAAATAATATAAATATAATAAAATAAATCGGATTAAATAAAAAAATTAATGAAAAATAAAGAAAATATACTAAATAAATAAATAACCAAAGAATAGTTATGCTTTAAAGCCAATTTCTTTTTGTTGAAAGTAAAATACCCACAAAAAACACCTTGGACACATATCCGGTGGTAATTGTGTTTTACAACGAATTTGGGTTTTATTTACGTTATTAGAAAAAGTAATGGTAATTTTACACATCTAAGATACAGAGAAGGCAAACAAAAAATCAACGTCACCAGCTTAAAAGCGAAATGTACATAAAAACCATAAAAACTGAGAAAATGTAAAAATTTAAAAATCTGCCAAAAAATACTTTCTTACAATACTTATTACAACGTACATTTATATATGTGTTGTTGGTTTATTGTTTTATTTTTTGACATTTCAATAACACTAAAAGCAAACAAGCAAGATAACAAATACAACAAAAGGTAAAGGAAAATATAACACTAACAGTAAAACAAAATATATGTAAATATAGATGTGTGTGCGATCAATTAAATTCACGTTAAGGCCCGAAAAGTTACAGCAACAACGACAACAGCTAGCAATAATAACGGCGACAATGATTCTTAGTAAAAGCATTGGTAACTGAACGCCCATACACCCATAAACTCACAAACCCGGCCACCGGCTAAACCGAGCAGAAGAAGCCAGATGTGGTGGAGAAGAAAAAAACAAGAAACATTCAGAGCTATAGAAGCAACAACAACAACAAACAATAGAGGTAAAAAGGCATTGAAAACGCCAAAACAAGCATCATTTTGTTGCAGTTCTGGCAAGACAATACTGCAACAACAATAAACAGTTGAACAAGCAAACAAATGCAACATGAAATATTAAAAAAAAAAAAGAAAAAATTAAAAAAACTTGGAAAAAATTAAGGTGAAAGATACACAAGCAATGCACAGATACGCAGTCACACAGCTACATAGCAACAGCGGCAACAACGATAATGCTTAAATAGCAGTTGCAATGGCACTACATGCAGGTAAAATCCGATCCGACCGCTACCAGCGAAGTGGAGAAAAAAGACGCAATGAACCTAAAAAGCAGACAATGGCGCAAGCGACACTTCGAATGGGAGGCTGTCAAGCAGGGAAACATGAAATTCGCTTGTGCTTGGCTTATGATATGGTTGGGAGCTGCGCTCAACGCTTTTGGGTCTGCACGGTGGGTCTGAAATGGAAAAATTTGCAAAATTGGGAATTCGGCCTTCTCGAATTTATTTTTAGTTTTGTTTGAGCTGGTATTTTGAAAAAAAGGGGCAACTCCAAATATTTTTGGAGTAAACTTCACTCTCTGCTTACTTAAAAATTTTAACAAATCGCAACTCTTCTCATAAATGTGTGGAATATAAACCGAAAGTCACTTAAAATTTTCTAACGTCTCACTTCTTCATCAATTTCACTCCAAAGAAGATCTACTTGTATTTATATTCAATTCTCATTATATCGATGAGCTCATTTTTTCTAAAATTTTTACAATTCGATTCCCTTAGTAATTAATCACCCTCAATTTTGACTGAGTCAGACTTATCATCCTAGAGAATATCGCCCGTCTGCCCATTGTGCCTCACTCGTGTTGCCATGCTGCCTCTAGTACGCTTTCGCTGCTCTCCCTCTCGCACCCTCTCTCCCTCTCTATATATCTCTCTTCAGCTCTACAGTTATTCAACGAGCGCGTTAGCTGATGGTGTCATTGTTGATTTTGCCATTGCTGCTGTTGTTTGCCATTGTTCCAGCGTCCTCATTGTTATTTGTCAGACGCATTACCAGAAACAACAGCTACGGAAACACAAAAACAACAAACAAGATTCAACGCACCAGTTAACTCACCTTCCACCTACCGAAATTTTTATTTTTTATTTTTTCGGCTTAACAATACCAAGCGCTCGCTGGGGTTGGTTGGTTTTATCTGTTTTGGGCTTTTAAGCCTGAAAAAAGTAATGAAACTTGAAAAAATATACAAATACAGTTTGGTAGTTTGGCAAGCAATGAACGTATCTTCGGTGTTGTGCCACAAAATGTTGTACGTAAATGTATGCCCTCGCGCTTGCTGCATGTTATGGTATAGCATGGCATAGTATGGCATGACATGGCAAGGTAAAATCTGATTTTTTTAACGAGGGTCTACGAAGGCTATACTGAAAAAGCGCTGGAAAAACTGCAACAACAACATATTGTACTAAAATCTAACATTTCATTTTTTCTTTTCCATTTCCCAAGTGTATTAACCTCTGTACGTTTCGCCCTCCCCACTAACAGTTGACGCCTTCAAAGTAAATGAAGCCTTAGCAACCAAACTCAACTTTGACTTGCTCCTCTTTCACATCACCCTGCTTTTCCTTGCAGAGCTCCTACAAAATATTCTCTGTTTGTATCCGCCCTGCCATTAACTGGCCGTCCGTCAAACCGTCAACCGTCAATAGGCGACTGCTGAGTGAAGAGTGTCAGATCGCCAGGAGCACAGCAATTTGGGGGGTTGGCACTGCCACGCCTCATGAGGTGTTGTAGCGTTGTTTGTGTATACGCTTTCAGTTGGTAACAAAAAGCTGGCACTCAACGTGATCGCCGTAACGCCCATTTGCTTGCCCACTTTTAACGATCAGTCAAGAGTCAATGAGCCAGCGAGTGGCGCGCTATGTCGGTCAGTTGTCAGCGGTCAGCAGCCAGTAGACAGCAATCACTATGCGCCCGAGACTGTCAATCCATCAAATTTGAACTTCTTTCCCATTTATGTTTGATTTAAATATTGTTTTGCGGATCGCAATAATCTTGTTTCCTAACAGTTTTTTTTTATGATTATTTTATTTTATGCTGCTCTGTTGTTGTTGCTCTTCTTTTTCCTACTAGTTTGTTAACTGTCAATTTTACTGGTACAAACCGTTCTCCAAAGCGCCTAATTTACGAACATCAATCTAACATCCACTTTTGTCTGCCTCCATTGCGAAGCTCTTCTTCCGACTCCGCTTATTCCTCTGGTTCTTCTTCTTCTTCTACAAGCACTGCATTAGTCTTTATTCGCCTTTAAATGCTTACGAATCATCTATCCATCGCTTTGATTGCCGCGATTTATTTGTTTATTCGCTTATTGTTATCTAGTTGAGTGAAGTTTTAATTTAATGCTTGACTAGACGCACATACCTATAAACTCATATGGGTACGTGTGTATGTATATTGCTGCTTTAGAAAACTACTGACCTGAAATTTATTATCGTATGGAAAGATTTTTGTTAAATCGATGAAAGCTTGTAAACTGGATTTTCGACGGAAAGCGTGCGTTGAAAATTGTTAATGACCTCGATATATGTAGATATGCCTATGCATATGTATGTATGAATGTAAGTATGAGTGTTTTTTATGAGTATAACTAATAGTTAGTTATTGAAGTATGTTAGCAATATGCGTAACGGTATAGAGATATGCAATTATCACTATTTATTACTAATTAGCAAAAAATAGCACTAAAATTATTACAAACATTTATAAAAATAAAATTAAAATAGATATATAAAATAAAATAAAATAAAAAAAATTAAATAAAATAAAATAAAATAGAATAAAATAAAATAAAATAAAATAAAATAAAATAAAATAAAATAAAATAAAATAAAATAAAATAATTAAAAATAAAAAAATTAATACAATAAGATGAAAAAATGTAAAATGAAATATAGTAATATAGAATTAAATAAAAATGTATTGATAAATTAAAATAATATCCAGTGGAATTAAAAATTAAATATATTTAAATGATATTAAGTAAATAATTCAAATGTTGGTACATTATCAAATAAAATTTGAAAATTCTTTCTATTCAAAGTGATCTCATTACTTTTATCGCCCAAGTGTTTCTTATAATAATATTTGTTAAAGTGTTGAAAATAATTTATAATTGTTTTTGTTATTTACAAAACCAATCAGCAGCTACTGGGAGTCATAGAGATAGTCGCAAGGCCTAAAACACCTCATCATATAAGGCATTTGGTGGCAGCGCAGCAACGCAGCGCAGCGAAGTCGACGGCTGATAAGCGCACAATCTGAAAAAGGGTATGACTAATGTGCATAGTAATTTGTATTAATTTAGTAAATTTCTGAGCAAATAGAACTTGAAGTGCTTGGACGCCTGATTGGCTGGAGCGTTTGCTTATCTCATTTAAGAGTGTATAAAATAAAAGAAAATGGAATTAAACAAAGACCTTGAGGCATATTTCAAACTACAAGTCATAGCATCAGCAAAGCACCTTTGTCAGCGCGTTCGAAGGCGTGGGTGAGTCAATAACTAAGCATTTAGAAATTATTTAAATAATAATATCATAAATTAACTAGATAAATTAGAAAAATATTTTCAAAGCAATGCTCATACCTTTACCTTTTCTTTCTTTCTCACTTATTTCACCTGACAGCGCACGCTTTTCATGTCAGCTAAGTTATATGTTTTTACATACGTGTATCTGCATGCATATGTACGAATGTGTAAAATGAGGCTAGTTAAATTAGTAATATTCTAATTATGGTCTACTGTTAACATTCTCACACTTATCAAACGTCAATGGACTCTTGTGGCATCCACCGAAGTCATGGCGAAAAAAAATCCGCAACTACAAATTTCGAATAAATTATAAATGTGCATATCGACTACAACGGTAATTGATAGTGTGTGTTGCTGCAGCGCTAAGATGTTCAGTGCGGTTCCTGGCGATCAGCTATGGCTGTATGGCTAATCATAAAACTGTCAACATTGCAACATTGCAAGCGACTGCAGGGGGCTGAGAGCTATTAACTCAGCGCGAGTGTCCGTCCGCTTCCGCCATCCATACTGCTTGCGGGCAACAAGGATATCAGAATTGCACTAAGTTTGTTATTGGGTCCGGTTAGTCGGTTAGTTAGTTGCCACGAGTGTGTGTGTTTGTGTGCATGTAGTCACCTTAGTGGCTTGGTGTAGTAATAGTTGGCAACAATTACATATTATTGGCAATTTTATGGCAGCAACTTGAACGTGTAATTTTTTATATTAAACTTTGCTGTTGCCGTGTAATAAAAATTTAATAGTGTTGAAAGTGGCAGTGCCGGTACTACTACTGCACTGAAGTGGCAAAGCCTAATGTAAAAGGATTGCAGGAAATTTGGAAGGTATGTGAGGCATAGAAAGATAGAGCTACCTGCCGTACTATATAAGATGCGATGAGCTTTATCAAGGAATATTCCAAGCTGGAATAAAAGATGGACGGTAGACTTATAGACCACTATGAAAGCCACTGTATTGCGAAAAATTTTCTGAAGAGGACTTGAATTCTTGGGCTGGGAACTACACTGCAGATAAGCTTGCGCAGGCCCCACTCCTTACGGTTTATGTGCATTGAAAGTCTAAGCAGGCATGGATTACTTCAACTCAGAGCGTGCATGAGACCTACACTCACGTTTCGAAGTCATCATTTTTACTGAGAGCGAGGATTCTGTGTGGTCATGGCTCCATTTGTTGACGTAGCATACTATATTTGTCTCTATGGGATCGCTTAAGAAACATAGAGTCTCGAAAATAAAGTTATGTCTAAGTTAAGTCCAAGAAAAAAGTCATCTGCCACACAATAAAAGATAGTTAAGACTGTCTCCAGCAACTACTACATTCAATTACGACTCACCTAGCAATACGCAAAGCTCACCTAAAGTCGCTCTTTCACTGACCATATTGAAATCATTCCACGTTTCCGTGCCAACAGCAATCAAACTTAGCATGATGTACATTGAAGGACCAAACTTCAAAAACTTGGTCCTTGGGTGCTGCTTGAACTACCTATCCCCCTTATATATCTCATGCTTCACTAAAATCTTTTCAAAGTCCTCTCTTGTAGCTTCGAATTGCTGGTGTCTTTCTGGTCTCTTAATTCCAACGGACCCACTACCGCCTACTGTGTCTCTTATCCATTGCAAAGCCGCTGTTGCTGGCGTCGATTCCAATGAAATGTTTACATGTTTATATATGTCTTTGAGTACATTGTTCGAAGTGCCATCGTGCCATCGATGAGAAGCGTTCAGCACAAAACTTGTCTTATAAATTTCACATGCCAATCAATAAAACCAATTACAAGCAATTACTTTAAATGGATATGCGAGGCAGAGAGCGAAGCGAGCCACAGATGACGATGATGATGGACGTACTTTAGTATGTATGTATCTAAGTAAAAAGGAGTATGAGGGGTTCTTATCCATTGGACGGCATGATTTTACCATTTTTTTTTTTTGTTGGACAAAATATGTGTGTCTATGTTGGACGGACCGACGAACGACCGAACGACCGAACGAACGACCGAACGAACGAACGACCGATTGTCTAGCTGAGAGTGGTGAAGGCGGCGGTTGGGGTCTGCTTGATTGCTGAGCTGTGCATGGCCATCAGCTGGAGTAATAAAGCCTGAGGTACTTACAAACCGATGGAAAATTACTTGAATACTTAAGAATGAGCTGTAATCGTTTATATACACACATACACACATACAAATGTACCAAATTCAACTTCATTGTAATTAAAAATTAAATGGGAAAAATGAGAATTTCCGCTTGCCTAGCTTCAGCAATTTCGGGAAATGTTCATGGAGGACGAGGATGAGGGAGGGAGACTCTATGCACTGAACATAAAAAGGTATTGAGTGGAAACTTTCGAATCCGAAGTCATGGTATCCCGACCGCACGCCATGCGCATATCCTATAAGGTCCTGAAGTCAACTTTTGACTAAAGACAGTCCCAAAAGGAGTAAACACAAACAAACAGAAAAATCAGAGCACAAAAACATAAAATCACCATGAATTTGAGCTGCTGCCGATCTACGACTGAAATTCAGCTAAGCGTCTAAGATGTCATTTGTTGTTGTTCTTCAGTTTTAGCTGGCAGGCGGTTGGCCCCTCTCTCCTGTTCCTCTAACATATTTGTTTGGCTGTCAATTTTTTTAATCTTCAAAGCTACAACAATGGAACAACAACACAGTTGACTAATAATGTCACCTGCCCTCGATGGGGTTAAAAATGTATGAAATAAATCACGACAAGATGTCTACACGTGCACGCCCAGACCAGCAGATATGCATACATACGCCCAAATGGATATACGAGTATATGTAAATCCGATGAAAGTAAGCAGCCAAGCGAGCACAATGTGTAATTGTTGTTGCTAGGCGCGCTTAAAAATTATCGAAAAAAATTGAATTTCGTTTTTTTTTTCTGCACCAAAACACAGATGCATATGTGTATATACGTGTATGTGGCGATTGGTACGTTTCAAAAGTCACGTATGCACAGCAGCTTCGACAAAACCACCAACAAATGCTTGTGAAAACACAGCGCTCAACGATCAACAATCAGCGCTTAACGGCTGAAAAGTAGGGCTTGAGATATCGACTTGAGAGTGGCGAGACAAAAAGTGGGCTGCCCTTCACAGCCTAAAAGCGATTATTTGTCATAAATCAAATTTAATGCTCAGCTAAATAAATATTGATAACAAAAATGGCGTAAGTCGATTTTTTTCATATTTTATTTTCTCTGCTTCTCATTAATCACCAAATTTCTATTCTGAAATACGAGACCTCGAGTTATGTCAGAAATATTTTTCAAATTATTTAGAATCAATCAAATTCGCTTATTATTTTTTATTTAATTTAATTAATTATTATTTTCCAAAATCTGATTATTATAAGGTCTCTACCCTGAGGTAGGCAAACCTCGGTTGCCTGGAACGAAGACTGCTGCGAAACAATTAAGAATTACTAAGTGCAAATGGGACGATCAATTTTCGTGGATTCTGATATTTGTATTGAACGGAAAGCGAATTTTCTGAAAGAACTAAACACAGCAACATGGTAGGTGGAGTTGTTGGAGCAACAATGAAATTATTTTGTGGCAGAAGTTGGGAACTCACTCTTAGATCGATATTTTTTTTTTTTGCAAATTTCTTAAATTTTCGTTCTCATGTCTTTGGAGCGGCAAGAATGGAGCGATTATTATATGAGTGGCAGGTCTCTTTCCGAACCTCTTCTGGCCATTTTTGGTCAGCCGTTAGTGCACATTATCTGCGAAATTTTATTGAGCACTGAAGACAAATGCTTTAGGTATTCGATCTTGTTACGATAACATCCATACTTGTGGTCCAAGGAATGGACAAACCAAGATTAAGAAGAAGTTTGTTGATCTCTCCAAAACTTAAGGCGAAAAGAATACTCGAAAGAGCGCAGTGGTATAAGGTCCTTAGGATACATTAGTCGGGGACAGTTGGACGGGTTATTTCCTTTTATTCTTACCACCTTGGTAGAAAGAACCGATCTTTCATCTTAGGTAGTTATTTGCCATACTGAGCCACGTACGGCCAGAATTCGTGGCTTTCAAAGGCACAGTTGACCAGTTAAACTCTAACATAGCAATGCGCCAAGAGTGAACGTGACCTCCATAATTGACTGTCATGTGTGAGCGCAGTGGTAACTGTTGTTGTTGCCGCTGACTACCGTACAGCTGACGGCTGATCTTTGGCTTCTTTACCTTCGTTGCTGTTTGGTGTTGGTTCTTCTAAATTTCTCCAAGGGAAAGCAACTTTTTTTACACTTATCTATGTATGTGTGTAGAGGAGTATATGAGACTGCTTATACATGTATTCAATACTCTGGTTGTTGTTATTTTCAGCTGTTTTTTTTTTGGTTTTAGTTATAGAGATTTTGCTGTTTTTTTTGTTGTCTGTTGTAAATTTTGTTATCATTTCGCTTGGTGTGCTTGTCTTCATAATGATGCTTCTGTTGCTGCTGTAAAAGTTGACTTTTTATTTATTTATTTTCTTCTTCCTTTCTTCTTTTTCCATCTTTCTTTTTTTTGCCAAGCAGCAAGCAATAGGTTCAATTGAATTGCATTTAATTGCTTCAGCCTTAATTTATGCGCTGTTGCGCGCAGAGTTGCTGCTTTTATTTATAAATAAGCAATTGTTGTTGTTGTTGCTGCTGCTGTCATTGTTCCCATTGCAAGGCGCAACGCAATTCTTTATATTTTTTATGACCATAATAAAAAATCCAACAGCAACATCAACAGACAACCACGCACACGCACACACACACACATATACCTCCGTACACTTTTATTGCACTTGCACAGGCGAATTGATGCTGACAGTAGCAACATAGCAGCAGCACCACTGGCCGCCACCATCTCAGCATGGGTCTCCACAGCCTCACACACACAGGGCAGTCTCTGTGGTGTCAGCCACAACAATCAGCAACAATGAGAACGACGAAATTGATGCCAGCAATCAAGCGAATGATAGACCAAGTAGACTTTTACTTTGGGGTCACCGGAGAACCGCAGAATTGTGCGAAGGTGTGCGGAGGAGGTGCAGGTAAGCACACAGTTCTTTGTGGGCGAATAGCGAAGATTTTGACAGGCCAGAGCTACTGGAGACTCCAAAGGCTTTGTAGGCAATTTCGCGGTGGAACGAGCTTCTTTGATAAGCGGCAAAGTGATGTAGAAAATGAGAGAGCCTTCGTAGAGAGTCTTGAAATTGGTTGGATGCTGAAGAAGCTTATTTAAAGTTAAAAAGCCGTTCGTTGTACTTTATGTCTTTCTTACCGTAAAATTTCCACCGCTAATACTCAGCGTGTTATCGAGAGAGACAATGCATCTTCTGGTTCTTTTGCAAATAGCAAAAAACAAGTCTTTGCAGGCCTCTCGTGATTTAAATTACAGTTCCTTGAAGGAAAGGAAGCCCAGCGATTTTGGCAACTCCTTTTTTTCAGCAAAACCTTCAGTGAACAAGCAGAGATAAGACACAATTTATTGTTCCTCAAACTGTTCCCCATACTAAAAAACTTTAGGCTTTTAAAAGCTTAACAGGATAACAACCAATACTAAGGTACAAAGGGCATTAGACCTTTAATTGGCTGGTGGCAGAAAGAATCACCGCGCAGTTCTTTTTTGTGAAATTTCGGATGGGCGAGTTCCTTCAGAGAAGTGAAATAGAAATTCCGTTGGAAACCGCCGATAGTATCTTAGAAAAAAGATTTCGTTCAAGTTTTCCGAAAAAGACTCTTGATCAAGGCGCAAAACTCCCAGCCACGACTTTTTCGCTTTTCCCTCTGCCATCACAGCTCTTGTTTGTAGGGGAGACAAAAGCCTCGGCAACCGCCAACTCGAAACTGCGCAAAACCCAAATTATAGTGCATTTTGTTGGCGAAAGCAACAGCAACAACAATTTTTTTCAACTTTTTTTTTGCCCATAACCGCTAAGAGAGGCAGCGCGGTTTGCCTTTAATTTTATATTTTGCTGCTGCCTACAATTACTCTTGTTGGTGCTGTTGTTGTTGTTTTAGCTGTTACTTATTTATTGCAGCTTCTGTTGTTGACTTTTATTACATATGTATGTAAGTAGGAGTGTGTGTGTGTATGTGTGTATGTGTGTCTGTTGCAGGCATAAAATTGTAATTGCCACAAATTCAACGGCCGCAATTCGACGGACACTCAGTATTCACATATATACATATATGTATGTATATCTGCTGTTGGACCAATTATATGTGCTTGTTGGTAATTGATGTTGTTTTTTGTTGTTTTTGTTGTTGCGGTTGTTGTTGTTCTTGTTGCAGTTGTCATTATTATTGCCATTGTAATTTTGTTGCTTCCTCTTGTGTTGTTGGTGCACATGTAGCTTCTGTGTATTTATTGTTATTGCAGCAGTTCATGCTGCTTACAATGAAGCGCGCCTCGAAGCGAGCGCCGAGTTGACTCCTCAGCTTTTCTGATGCGGACATTTCCATGCATACACAAGTACATCCTACCACGAACTCACGTCTGTAAGCAAACTTTCTCCACACTCGCCGATCAGGCTGGGCGCGCACTGCTCGCTTGATTTGTATTGTCAATTAATTAAATTAATGACTGCGTATCAATTGGCGTTCGATTGTTTAATTGTTTTGCCCTGCATTGACACTTAAGTCACGAATCACTTGCCGGAATCGAGGCGCTTTTCTCCTCCGATTGTTGGTGGAATATTGTCAAAGAAGCGAGTGTGCAGCGGGCGGAAGTCGCATTTGAACATATGGAAAGCATGTTACAGTTTTTAGGGATACCAACAAAATCATAAGTCTACTACTGAAGACTTCAATGGCTCACTTACCAGTAGTTAGCCTTCGTTTATGGAAAGTGAAACTCACCAACGATTCGTGCAGATTTTTTTCCTCAGATCTTAACATTTCAAGTGAAAGTTTCTGTTAGACTTGGGTCCTCAATATGCTTAGGACTCAGAAGAAGCTGCTGGGCCTCAAAATTTACCGCCTTCACAACCAACTTACCACACCGTGGCCAACAAGCTGGCCTATGACCTGTTGTACTAACCTCTGGACTTATTCGAAGAGCTATGGACAATCACTTTGCTGCAAGTTTAACTTCAATTAACTAAATGCAATCCGGGTCCGTACTAAAAACTAGACTAGAAAGTCATCCTTATCATGTGCCTGAGGGTAGAGGGTTTCAATATGATGAGATGAGCCTCTCAGGTAAGCAAGCCAAGATTAGAGTTTCGG